AACCACCGATTTTAGAGGCTGGGAATGTGGCTTAGTGGTAGAGCACATGCGTAGTTAGCATGTGGGAGGTCCTGGATTCCATCCCCACCACACACACACACACAGGCACATGCTGTCTAGGGCCCTCTCCCCAACCACCGTGCTTTAATGGGTGTGCCTCACCGCCGAGCAGGGACATATTTTAAAAGCTCCCCTGGTGACTCTAATGTCCGAACCGAGTGGAGCCACAGAGCTAAAGTGTCTGGCTGCTCTAAGAGACCGGGAGGTGGAGTGGCCCGGATCCCCCGGAGAGGGGAGATGGACTGTCTCCAGCACCCTGCCCCACTATTAATTACCCTTTGTTAGCTGAGCAGGAAGCATTACTGAGCAGGCTCACCAAGCTGGAATTCCAAGGGTATCTGGGGATTCCTGAGCGTTTAAATTTAGCAGATTACTTCAGGCAGGAGAAACCTGGGCCAGCAGAGCCCTGAGAAGGAGAAACAAAAGGCTGCGCCCCGCCCCGCTGCTGCGGGGGCCTGGAGTTCCTGGAAAGGGTGGGGGAGGGTCCTTGTGCGCAGCGAATGAGGGCAGCGGGGACTGAGCGGGAAGCTCTCGTCCCTTTATTGCTGCCCCATGTGCACTGGCACCTCGGGGCCCAGCTGCTCTGAAACGGGCTGGCTTGGTCCTCGGCGCGGTCCGAACGGAAAATCGTGTCTTCGCGCCGCCGTTTGTTTTTGTTGTTGTTGTTGGTTTTTTGTTTGTTTGTTTTTCCGGTACCGGGAATCGAACTCACAACCTTGCGCTTACCAGGCAGGCGCTGTGCCGCTGAGCTAAATCCCCAGCCCCTGCGCGCCGCCACCGGCGTTTGTTTGGTACTGATTTGGGGTACGCAGCCCGCCTCCCAGGACCAGTTAAGGGAGCACCAAGATCCCAATGCATTTGACTCCCTAAACAGTCTTGAAACTTGTAAAGCGGTCCCTGACCTGAGAACAGTGAAGAGCCAGCCCTGGCTCGCGGGGGTCGGTGAGAGGCCCTTGCCCACCCTGTCCGGGGTGTGGAGCGGCGCAGGGTCCTCCGTGGACTTGGAGCTGAGGTCTCCAATGACCCCAAAACAGCGACAGGAATAGCTAAGACACCGCCTCCCAGGTACCTCCAAGGCCGCCCCTCTCTGAGCTCTGTTCTCTGGTGATCATTAGTGAATACCGTCAGTTTTGCGCTTTGCGGTGCTCGGTATTAGCTAGAAGCTTGGTCACTTAGGGAGGTGCTAGTGAAAACACCCGGTACTTCCCGCAAACCTCAGAAAGGCCTGCCTGTACAGCAGTGTTTGACCAAATGCTGGGGCCAGCGTATCAGGATGAAGTGAAAGAGGATACAAGGGCAGTTGATTCCGGGTACTCAGGCGCTGGTGCCCACTGCTGACGAAACAAATCATGCCTGTAACCCCAGTATTCTGGGAGGCAGAGGCAGGAGAATTGAAAGTTCCAGCCCCGTCTGGGCAAAAAACTTAAAGAGACTCTGTGAGTCAGAAACAAAACAAAACTGAAGGAATGACCAAGGACCGAGTGTCGAGCCAGTATAGACCACCTTAAAAAAAAAAGGGAAAAAAAAGGCACAAGACCCAAGAGGGTAAAGGAGGCTAGAGTTGCACAAATCGCCCCTCCCCAAGTGCAGGTGTGCAGGGGTCCTCCATGAGGAAGAGAGGGAGAGGAGACGGCGAGACACACAGCCCAGGGCTGCCCCACTCCTCCCAGAGCTCTGTGGGCCTCCCTTCGCTGTGGAAAGGAAACTAGACCTCAGCCCCCTGGAGCCGGCTGCTGCGCTTTCTGTCCTGTGGGCTGAGGAGAGGTGAGAGCAGCAGTTTAACCTTAAGCCCCAGGAAGCTGGGAAAGGAGTCTTGTTGATAAGGAAGTTTAACTTTTACAGTTTTATTTTACCCCATGTGTGATATGGTGGTTTTTGACTAAGCTACATTTAATTAATTTAGAGTCCTTCCTCCTCCAGGGTTCAAACTATCTTCTATGAAATACTTATCACAGTAGGGAAAGGTTTACTTTGACGTTGGGACTGGGAGAGCTAAAGCTGGCCACCTAGCTAAAGCCCCAGAATTACTTCGGCACGGCGCTGACCCAAGCGGGGCCCTGAGCCTGGTGAGCCCTGGCCACTTCGGAGGCGCTGTGACTCCAGCCCATCAGGGCAGAGTCGGACTGAGGGCTCATGCTGAAGGAGCAGGGAGTCTCTCACTGTGAGAGACTCAACCCCCAGAGGTAGGCTTTACCCTCCTCAAAAAAAGTTCTTGTAGAATGGAAAAAGCCACCCTCGTCTTGGTCTTATTACACATTTATTATTATCTTCACCTCCTTTTAAAAATGAGGAAACTAAGTAGCTGGGCGTGATGGTGCACACCTGTAATCCCAGCACTTGGGAGGCTGAGGCAGGAGGACCGCCACATGTAGAGGCCATCCGGGACTACACAATGAGATCCTGTCTGACAAAAAGGCGGAGGGACTAAGACCTGAGGGTCTGAAGAGACTGCCCGAGGTCGCAGCTAGTTAGCAGCAGAGGCCAGCGGTGAAGCCAGCAGGTTTGGCTGTGGAATTCCCCCGCGTAGTCCTCACAGCCTGGTTAAGGACCAGTGTGAGGCTTTGGTGGCAGGTAAGGATCTATTTTCAGCCTCTGACGGCACAGGCCGAAAGTGCCTGTGGGCCAAGCTGGCTGGTCCATGTGGAGCTGCTACCAGCGATCCTTTCTGAAGTGTTTCCACAGCTCCACAGGGAGCAAGTGGATGGCTCTTTCACAGGGACGCGGGAGACGGCAGCCACGAGAGCAGTGAGGTTTGGGTAAGGTTCACGGCCCTGGAATGTGGAGTCTGAGAGGCGCTCCGGAGCCTAGCCTGGCAGTTTTCAAAAACACTTTCTAAAGCAACCCAACCTTTTTCCTTCAAATATAGGCCTACGTGCATTTAACTGTGTGCTTGTCCGTATAGTAACATGTATATGTAGTATATAGTAACATGTATGTTATAGTAACAAATGCATATGTACACATACACACTCCCGGGTGGAAACCCTTTATAAACAGAGTAAGGTGGAGGTTCCTCTCATCCCTCATGCGGCCCAGAGTCACTGTCTGGTACCCTAAAGCTTAGAGGAACACGGCTTTGGGGTTCTTTAAAACCATCTTTATTTTATTGGTACACGTCAGGTATCCATAGTGATCGTGTTCACCATGGAGACTTTGTACCTGTGCGTGGTATAACCTGATGCTTCTTTTTTTCCCGTTCCCCTCCCTAGAGGAACACAGTTTGGAAACCATTGTTCAGGCCGGGTTTTCCTGAAGCCTGTCCTGCGAAAGGCTAGTCTCATAAGATGCTTTCCAGAAAGAAGAAGAAAGAAGTTTGTGGTCAAGTACGGTTGAGAGACTGTGGCCAGGCTTAGTTTTATAATCACTTGCTAGCATAGTAAAGGCTCGAAGAAGTCCTGAAGGTGGACAAACCACCCTCAATCCATAATTTCCCTTAAAAAAAGATGGATGAATTGTGTTATAGTCATACAACAGCACATTATAGAGCCATGAAAATAAAACAGTTGCTACCAGTGGAAGTGTCTTACAAGTATGTCAGGGGGAGGAACCAGACACAACCGTTCACATAAAATTAAAAAATAGGCAAAGAACATATTTTTGGAGTTGAACTGAGAGTAATTATCCGTGGGGAGTGAAGCAGTGGCTGGCAGGAGCAGGAGGTGAATTAGAGGGTTTCGGCTGCGGTTCATACTTGACATGGGTGGTGGTTAGTTGGTCTGCTCAGCCTGTGAAAATTATCTATGCCTCTTTCTGCATATACCCGTGTGTATGTGTACGGTACGGTTTAGATCTAAAATGTCCCTCTAAAATCTCGTGTGTTTGGAAAGTGATTGAATCTCAGAGGCGCTGTACACGTCAGGAGATTGACCAGTCAAGAGCTCGCAGCTCTAAGTGTGTTAGGAGGCGGGCCCTGTTCTGAGGCAAGTAGTCACCAGGGGCGTGGCTTCCAAGGGTGTGATCTTTTTTTCTTTTTTGTCCTTTGGAGACAGGGTCTCGCTATGCAGTTTAGGCTGACTTTGAGCTC